ATGTAGGGCCATCTCGGGCGTTTTGGTCTTGGGAAGGTTAAATCAATCATCTGCATTATGAGCCTTGTGTAAGAGTCATATAATGGCTACTGATTTTGAAATGATGGAGTCTAGAGAGGTTTAATATCACCAGATACTATTTTTAGGATGGAAAGTGGAATGTCTAGAGTAAAATAGAGAGTTAAGGAATTAATGAATATTAAAGTTAAGATTTTGATTTACATTTTTTTATTATATTACTCATGCATACACATATATAATGTGTGTATGTATATCTCATGCATAATGTGTGTGTGTTATTATATATATATGTGTATAAATATATATATATATATATATATACACACACACACATATATATATAAATATAAACTAAAAATACCAAGCATTTAAAAAAAAATATCAACACTTGCTTCCTGACCAACAACTTCAAATTAAGCCCTGTTTTAAATTGGAAAAGACCTTAGGTCAACTCGTTATCAACCACCACGATGTACAAGAAAATAGCATATGTAATTGCCAACAACCTATTTACCATAAATATGTCGATCCTTTCCACCAACATGTTATCACTGGAGATCTCAATATCATTGAAGACTTAGAATTGCGAGCCCTTTTAGCAACTTGGCACCAAATTTCGTCCTACTTTCAGTATCAATAAACACTTTTGCCTCAAACAATTCAATCAAGATCTAGATAAATTTATCATCTTAGTTAGTAATAAATCCAATTTACCTACTACTACTTTTCTTGAATGGAAAGCTGCACTAATTAAAGAATTTCAACATTTACTTTTCAAGACGCCTTATTTCAACTCTTTACGCAATAAAAAGCAGCTAAATAATCTTATTAAAAAACAGCAAGATAATTTTATCATTACAAAAATTGACAAAGCCAGGAACAATTTTAGTGTTATTTAAAAAAGTTTTTACCTCAACCTTCTGCATAATGAATTAAATAACAATTGCACTTACCAAAAAATTACTACCAGCACTAAAATTCTTCTCAATAAATTTAACGCACTACATAAAAGACTAAAAATACATCCCCGGAAAAATATAATAACAGATTTGCCAATCTCTATGCACTACCAAAATTTCATAAGTCTCCTATTAAATTCAGGTTTATTGCCAATAGTACCAAAAGTTATCTTAAAGAAATAGATTATCTTTTTGCAAAAAACTTCGCTTAATACGTGACTTAATTAATAACTATGATTTTAAGGATCTACATTGCAACTGGATGATTTCAAGTAACGAGCTAGTTCTAAAAACTATAAATTCACTTAAAATAGACCATATACAATGCTACGACTTCGAAAACCTCTATACTACCTTACCACTTAAAGAAATATATACAAGCTTACTTGCTCTACCGGATATAATTCCGCAGATTTCTACTAATAAGTGCCGAAAAATGGCAACTTTTTCTCTCAAGCGTGCTTTTCAATAATTTTATTCAATTCAACAATAGCATCTTTAAACAAATTCAAGGAATTCCAACGGGAGGTAATTTTTCCAGTTCTGTATGTGAATTATTCCTTTTTACAAAAGAACTGACCTTTGTCCGTTCACTCAGTAAAGAAGAACATAAATTTTTCCAACATATATATCGTTATATTGATGATATCATAGCCTTTAACAACCACAACAAAATAGAAGTTGCTAATATCTACCCCACTTGCTTAAAACTAAATAATACAAATACGGTGCAAAATAATGTAGTCTACCTTGACTTACATATTATTGATTACAATTTTATAAAAGTTTACGACAAGAGAAGAGAATTCACTTTTTCTACACAAAAGTTAACCAACTGCAATTCAAATATTTCCAAAAGAATCATCCTAAACACAATTTATTCACAGCTACTTAGAATAAAAAGAATATGCAATACCACAGAACACCTTCAAGAAGAAATACTTTACTTCGTGACAATTTTGAAAAATAACCTTAATTCCTCATAAAATAATTAAAAATACCTTAAAAAAAGCTGGCATTAGCCTTACCAATTTTTAGATAATTTGAGTTAGATAATGAAATTTTATAAAGCCCAATGGGACGGTATAAAGTGGATGGATGATTCAGAGAATCTAATGTAAAAATGTTATGTTTTTTTTGTGTTTTTTTAAATATTTTTTTTTGGTCTTAGCAAGACCCATGGCGTTTGTTTTCATTTGAATTTCATTTCAGAAGTATAATAGTCATAAAGGTTTTATTCTTTAAGCTTGCAGGTCCAGCCCGTACGTTATTGTATATTTGACTAATAGCAGACCGCTATTTATTTTAATTTTAGTTTTACTCGGAGTTGCATTTACATTTTTTTACACCTTAATGTGTCATTTTTTGCGGACGCGTCGGGAAATTGGGACAGAGAATTGAAGCTCCAAATGATTTTTTGGGACAATTAATATTATTTAAGAAATTTCTTCGTCACACAAGAGCTTCAATTGTCTGTTTCGGCGAAATGCGTAATGGTGTTGGCTTGGTTCGACGTCCAACTGAAATTTCCCTTGAAAAGCCAGCTTGGAAGTCTAATTACGCTAATTTACCATTTTCCACTTTGTAATTTTTATAATTTTTTGTAATTTTATGTTTTTCATATGTTTTAGTTTTGTTTTAACTTGTTCCGTCAATCAGTTTTTTATATGTGTTAACTTTTCACTTATCACATCGATAGGTTTTTACTGTATTTTTTGCCATTCACATGTTTCCAACAATTGATTTTAACAGTTTTTTATATTCTGCATTTTATTTCACGTGTAGGCTAATTTTTCACCCTTCAATGATATTTTTAAAAATACTGCGTTGAACTATTCCTTGGAGCCACAGCTCCTGGTAACTTTTTGGCGAGCTCACTACAATCTTTCTTCCTATTATTTCATAATTTTTGGAGCATATTGCGCAAAAAATTTTTAAGACCAAATAGGTCTTACAGCACAATACTTATTAGCTTTTCCATTTCAATTATATATATATATATATATAATAATCTTATATTAAATATATATATATAATAATATATATATATATTATATTAATTATATATATACTTATTATTCATTATATATATATTATTATATATTTGACTTTAAAAAAATAGTACGTATATATGTGTGTATATTCTTTTATTTTAAGTAAATTTGAAGGGAAAAAAAATTATGCAGAGAAATTTTGCATGAGATAAATTTTATTTTCCTTCAATTTTCTCATTTACACATTTTACATTCAGTTGTTGGTCGTCAAAGCATTCACCAAAGTATAATCTTTTTGTATTTTTATTTTATGTGCATATAACAGAGCAGCAAATTTAGAAAAAGTTAGCAAAAAAAACATGTTTAAAATAATTCTTAAAAAATGAAAAGAGAATGATTAGCACTTGGAATGAACTAATTATTATTATTTTTATTGTATTATTATCCATGTGGATGTTATTAAATACACTGATGTCCATAAATTAAGGATAATTCGGAGTCACGCGGAAATCGAACTCTAAAATAAATATATCACCTGTAAAATCACTACACATATCTTCAAGAATCATATGCAAATTTCAGGAAGTAACCAAATGACACCGATGGTACGTCACAATGACAAGAGTGTAAGAGAGTGATATATAAGGAATATAGGCAAAGAAGTAAAATTGTTTGCAGGCGCTTTATAAGCATTTCAGTCCAATAACCGAATAGTTATGACACAAAGGACGCATTTGGGTGATTTTTTACGTGGTAGAATTATCGACCATCTGGAATGTGGGCGTACCCAACTGGAAGTATCAGACGAACTTGGAATTGCCTAGAGTGTCATCTCCAGGCTTTGGCAACGATTCCAAGATGATAGTAATGTGAGTAGAGGTTACAGCGCAGGTCGCCCCAGTTACAACGCCGAATGAGGACCGGTATTTGGCAGTTACTGCCAAAAGAAACAGGCGGAGCACAGTCTCAGACCTGTCTCATCAGCTCTCTTCAGCCACTGGTATGACAATTTCAAGGCAGACCGTGTACAGACGCTTAGGGCAGATTGGTATATATGCTCATAGACCTCTCAGATGCATTCCACTTACTGAAACTCACTGTCGCCTGCAGTTAGCCTGGAGTAGAGAGCATGCATTGTGGACACCGCAACAGTGGGCTTGCGTAATGTTTTCCAACGAGTCCAGGTTTAGCTTGCCATCTGATTCTCGCTGGACTTTCATATGAAGAGCTCCAGGTACCCGTTATCACCAAGAAAACATCATTGAACAACACCATTACGGTGGTGCAGGAGTGCTCGTTTGGGGTGGAATTATTCTGGGTTCCTGAACTGACCTGCATGTTCAAATTGGAACCATGACAAGCCAAATCTATCAGGATGTCATTCTGGAACAGCATGTACGTTTGTTTCAGGGTGCCACGGGCGCACAATTTGTGTTTATCGATGACAACGCCCGTCCTTACCATGCAAACATCGTAAGCGAATGCCTTCAATTGGAGGATATCACCCGTATGGACTAGCCAGCATTCTCACCGGACTTGAATCCAGTAGAACACATGTGGGACATGCTTGGCTGACGAGTTGCAGCCCGTCAACCTCCTCCTACATGTCTACCGGAACTTCAGAGAGAATTGCTTTTTGAGTGGTGTAATATCCCCCAAGATCAGATCGATAATTTGATACTCAGCATGCCTAGGCATTGTACGGACTGTATTGCATCGTCTGGGAGACATACAATGTATTAACAATCATACCAACCATGTAATATTGGTGTTTTGTAAATAGGTTTTTTTTTTTTTTTTTTTTTGTAATTTGCTCCAGGGAGAAAAAACCGCTAATTTTTTTAATAATATCAAACATATAGCGTCTTTTTTTGCTCTTTACCTTTTGTTTAATAAATAAGCTTTACAAATAAGTCAAATTTGTTTTGCTTCTAACACTTCCTTTGCCTGATTTTGCATTATCCTTAATTTATGGACATGAGTGTATTTTATATCCTATTCAATATTCTTCTCAAATGCTTTGTAGGATATTGGAGATCAAAGTTCTATTCCTGATGAATGTCTCAAAGCAACTATATCCGGATTACAGAAGAAAATTCAAGTAATTTTATCATGAATTTTTAATATGTTTACTACTACAATATTCACGAAATATTATATTTTGATAATATTAGTTTATTTTCTATTAATATATAAACAATAATATTATTATGTATTTTTGTATAGTTCAATTAAACAAACCAAAGTACATGTGAGCATGAAAAGTTATTTGACTTAATATTAAAAATGATGAAAATGCGTGAAAGCATTTTATAAATTCTTTTGTGTTTTCTCTGAAAGCTAAAGTCACTGCATAGCTCTTTTTCCATCTTTTTTATTGCAGTGATTTTTTTTAACTTTTAGTACAATTTTTTTTTTTTTTTTTTTTTTTTTTTTTTTTTTTTTTAAATTCTGCACCTAGCTGCATAATGAATTCTGTTTCTTAATCAGTAAAGAAGTTATAAATATGTTTTTATAGTTATTTTATGATCAACTTACAAAGCACTTGTTTCAAGATTTTAAAACTTTATAAAAATATAATTAAATTTAACTGAATTTTGTGCCAATGCCTAATATCATTTTATTTCGATACTTGTATTATAAATTTCTTGGGGATGAGTTTATTATGATATACAGCTCATTAGATAAAAATTGTATGTTAGCAAAAAAACTATATTTCAATAGATATTAAATGAAATGGTAATATATGTGACATACACACCCAATTATATCAATCTCTTCTATTACATAATCAAGACTCTATTATATATCAAGACAAGATATGTAGACAAGATAAGATATGTATATATATGAATGTTCCTTGCATTGTAGAAAGTAGCAACACCTAGAGCAGCCAAATTTTGAACGTACATAGTAATTCAGTTGAACACATGTACCTCAAATCCCAAACTTTGAATTTCAAAAATTTTAGTTATTTTGTATTTTTGTGCAAATTTAATGAACATTTAAGGTACTGTTCTGTTAGGAGGACCAGATTCAGAAATGTATATATGCGTGCATGCATGGATGGATGGATGGGTGTGTTCATACATGTATGTACGAATGTATGTATATGTATGTATACATATACATACACACATGCATACATTTCCATACATTTCTGAATCCGGTCCCCGATAACAGAATAGTACCACATTTAAGTAAAAACTTGATGATTTAAAAGTTTTATGTTGCTACTCTGCAAAGTACAGTCAAAAGTCGTTATTCTGGACTCATCGGGACTTCGGCGATTCCGGATTATCGATTCCGGATTATAGATCATCAGTTTAAATCTGGTAAGATGGCATGCAGAAATTATAAAGTTAAAAATATGAAACCGTAATTTTTGAAATAAAGAACAATTATGATCTAAATGGTATCAAAATTTACAAAAAAAGAAAACTTAATATTTATTTGTTTACTTTATTAAACATTTCTTTCAATGTAAGTTGTTTCGTTTTTTATGTGATAATACATTCTCTTTAATTCTATAAACAGACATAATTTCTTGTTCAGTTACAAAGTTCCACTCTTCAAGTCCTATAATTGCTGGGTCGAGAATACTGACTAATTTGTCAATCGAAATTTTTTCGTTTTCAATAACCTCTGTTACTTTCTTCGCTTTCGGAAGCGAATTATAATGATGAGGAATTTGATTTAAATCATATCAAAGACAGAGTACATCGAGATGAAATAATACATTTAGTGAGGAATTATAAGCCAAATAAAATAAAAACATCTGCCCTGAAGATAAGAATAGTGCTGACAGATCAACTTCCAATTCATTGCGTGCCGCGGCGTTAAAGATAAACAAAGTTTAGATAAACAAACGTTAAAGTTTAGATAAACAAAGGATATGCCTTTATCCATTTTTTGCAGCAATTTCACTTTTTGTTTGATGAACATCGGAACATACTTTCGCTTTGTAGATCCTTTGATAACTCCAGAATCGGAAATTCTTTTTGACATAATCGAAAGTTCAAGCTTACTTTTATAAAATTGCTCTAACAGTGTGCAAAAAATAATAAGCCGGATCCAATTAGAAGATTAAGGAACAGCGCAATCTGCAACATTAACTGAATTAGATAATTTTAGCTTAGCTTATACTGTCCGTTATACATTAAATGCGCATTCGTAAACGTATTTTGCGCACGCTCACACGCCTATTCGCAGCTGTAAAGGTCGTACGCGCAGCAGAAAGTTTGTAGCTTTGAGGTCCGGATTTTGGGTGTCCGAATTAACGACTTTTGACTGTATAACATATTTACGCTTCATATTTAATCAGAAAACTCAGCAATATAAAAGAAGTCTGTTGCTGCTTGGCAAGAGGTAATATATTTGTCTTTCTAACTTCATTGCCAAAAAACAGCAGCTCCTAGAGCCACCAAATATTGAATACATCCTTCCACTCAAGTATGTGTACCTCAAAGCCCAAATTTTAAATTTTGAATTTTTTTTTTTTTTTTTTTTTTTCTGTTATTTCATATTTGAGGCAAATTTAAGGAACTTTTGATTAAAAACCCAGCAAAACAAAAAAATTGTCTCGCCTTCGATAGATGTTTATGTTTCAAATTTTATCGGAAAATTCAGAAAGAAAAACTGTAAAAGAAATGTTTTACTATCCAACAAAATGCAATATATTTGTCTTTCAAAATTTAACTCAGTGATTTAAAAGAAAGTTGTTGACACAGTGTGAATTAAAATATTTTTATCCTTCATGTAGCAGTGTATTGTCATTCACCAAAGCGCAAGATATTTATAATGTTTTAATTAACAAACTAAGTGATTTAAAAGAAATAAACTCAGATTCCTTTCAATTATTATTAATTACATAGCTGGATGTATGAAATTACATTAGCTAGCTTCTTTAAAATTATTATATATATTTTTTTTCTTTTTATAATAACTATTCTAGGCAGCTGGCTGCATAAGTGGCTAGTTAGTAAGATTATGCAAATCCTGCTGTTAAATAGAAATTATGTGATATTGGTTAAATAGCTCTGGGTTACTTGGCTGAAGAAATCCAATCGTTTTGCCATTCTCAGTCTGCAGTCAACTGCAATTTCATTTTAATCATCTCCAGCTTAAATCCTTTACATGAAGCTTAACCCTTTCAGGACGGGCGTCCCATGTACGCATTCCCTGTCTCTTACAGTCGGGCGTCTCATCCACGCATCACTAGAGACTGCATTCAGAGGACGGGTGATGCATTTTAAACTGGAACGTTTTTCTGAAGGCCACTAGATGATATCCTATGTCCATTACTTTTGAAATGAGTACAGTTTTAGGTTCCTGATGTTGAGTTTAATATATTCTGCTTGACATTGGTATTTTAATCATCAACTGTTGCAGGGGTGGGGGGGGGAAGCGTAAACAGAGGTGAGTTCTTTAAATCGCTGCGTGCTAATGAAAACATTCGCGTGTCTGATTTATATCAAATCCTTTTCTTATTCTGTTTTTTCCCTTTACTGTGTACGGTCTTTTAGGGTTACTATGTGGAGTTCTGTTACGCTTTGTATTGCTTTCAGATATATTTCCGTTTCTTCTCTTTTTATTTCGAAAAGCCTCACCTCCAGTCCATTATGGCGGGAAGGCGCTATTTATCAGAGGAAGAATACCCTCGTATGGTTAATGAACCATTTACCGCAGATGAGAGTGATGATTCACTTTCTAAAGAGTTAAAATGAAATACTTTTTCTAGAAGTTAGAAAGTGATACTTCTCCGTGTTTCGCGATTTACCACACTCAGTCTTCATTTTTAATTTTGTTACTTCTTACTGTAAATAGTCTTTGTTGTGTCGTTTTATTAATTTTAAACTGTATTGATGGATTTTATCAATTAAAACTTTGGAATAAATTTGAACAGCGCTTCCAAAAATTATTTTACAAGATAAGCAATTTTTTAAGTATATTTTCATGTAAAGTAAAGAAAAACAACATCATTAAGTGCTAATTTTAACATATACAGGGTATGATTCAAAAGTTTAAAGACTTACCTCAGAACTAGAAATTTATTGGATATTTAAGTACAGCAGACTAAAATTCTTCAAAATATGAACCTTCAGCATCAACATAGCGCTGCCAGTGCGTCTTCCACTGTTCGTAAGCCCTTCTGGAAGGCCTCGGGCATCATGCTGTCAAGGGCTCTCATCGAAGCCTGCTGGATGGTGTTGATAGAGTCAAATCACTTCCCTTTTAGGCTTGTCTTGATTCCGGGGAAGAGGAAAATGTCACTTTGAGCCAAGTCGGGGCTGTAGGGTGGCTGCAGGAGTGTTGTCACGTTGAACTAAAAAGGAAGAGATTCGACTCCATCGATGCCATCCAGCAGGTTTCGACAAGACCCCTGACAGCATGATGCCCGAGGCCTTCCAGAAGGGCTATGAACAGTGGAAGATGAGCTGGCAGCGCTGTGTTGATGCTGAAGGATAATATTTTGAAGAATTTTAGTCCGCTGTACTTAAATGTTTAATAAATTTCTAGTTCTGAGGTAAGTCTTGAAATTTTTGAATCACACCCTGTATAAGAGCTCAAGTAATAATATAAAATGATACCAAAAATTACGATTCTAGAAGCAAACTTTTTTTTTTTTTTTTTTTCTGATTTTTTTTATAAAATTAGGCTTAGCAATGCAAAACCTCCGTCCTGTACAGTAACTACCTTCGATTCCCTTCCATCCCACACGAGCGTCTGAAACAAAGTTGCACCGTCGTGAAAGGGTTAAGAAGTTACTATGCACCAAAATTAATTAATATAAAAAATCAGCATTTGAAACAGAAATAGTGTATATAATGCTTGATTTCCACAGGGAAAAATGAGGCATGTACTCTAAACCTGCACTTACAAAAGGTAACTGAATAATTCATGGTATCTTTTAAATGAAGAGTTGTATAACTCTTCATTTAAAAAATACCATAAATGATATATATACATACACACAGAGAGAGGTGCTCCATTAATGTGGTGACAAATTCATAGGTTTAAATTAAAATAATGCTCCAAATAATCATTATTACAGAAATCAAACAACAAGAATCAGCCTTATATTTGTAAATTTTGCAGGAC